TATAAAGAGCTATATTAAATAAGGCAGATTCTCAAAAAAATGACTGCATCTCATTTTGTTCCTCACCAATGGACAGAGATGGAATAGAACATCTTACAGAACCTTAAATATTAAGTACAAATAAATACTGGGAAAAAAACCCCAAGGACTTACCTACAAACCACAGAACATAAAACAAAAATCACATTCATGTTCATGAAAATCTAAGTGTATGTTATGTATTAACATCATTTTAAGTCTTTTTATAATTTTTGTATACCAAGCCTACCCCAAATACATGCCAAACAGTATTAATTTCTGTCAGTTGTAACATTTGGAGTTCTTAGTATTTTGCTTACATTATAGAAATGAAAAATTAAAAGTATTTCTGCACCCATTAAAAAAAAAAAAAAAACAGCTTAGTGAGTATTAGCAAACCAGTGCACATATAGGAGAAAAAAAAAAAAATCCAGAAGCCCTGACTCTACCATTTCTCACAACATTATATGCTCACTCATTACTGGTTACCCTAAACCACCTAGTACCTCAAATGCAATTTTCAACAACTGTTTTTTCTTTTCCATGTTTTCCAGTTTTAATTTCCATGATATTTAGGCCCTTTGTTTACAGTCCATGCAATGTAAGCTTTAACAGGTCTTTCCCTTAAGCACTTTAAGGATTATTTTAATATACAATTTCAAAAAATAAACTAATAGCTTGAGAAATGCAGTATGGGGTGAAGATATTACCTCCTGGATGGAGATGGAAGGAATGCATAAATGTATAATGTGAATGCATAATGTGAGCCAACACGCATTTTAGCATCAGCTGCTCTCAAGTAATTCAAATAATTCATTATTTTTTATAAAAGAATCTGAGATGCTGTTATACTTTGCATTATCATTTTTAACATAAAAGAAGATGTGCCATACCATACTAGCTCTTCTATCCTAACAACTTTCTCAAGCACATCAGTCTGCTTTATTATTTATTAAAGTACATTTCATCCAAAGTTAGAAAAGGAACTGTATTCTATCTAATCTTCATTTACATTCCTTATTTGTTGGTATTTGTTAAACTGTTAACTGAGAAGGTTTCACTGCACAGCTGTGTACTAAAGTGTGTGCTGCACTTGTGTGCCTCTTTCTTGTGAAATGCCACTGTGTGGATAGTCACATGTATCAGTTCACTTTGCTTCTCCTGTGACCATGGCTGATGCACGCTGTGATGTCCAAATATGATCTTCTAGAGAAAGTGCAGATCCTAAAGTTTACAGGATGAGTGATGGTTTCTCAGCAACCCACCAGTGATCCAAATGCATGGCAAGCAAACTATACAGCATCATCACTTCTAGCAAGAAGAACTGAAAGCCCATGTTCCTGAAAATACTGCATATATTATTTTTCCTTTCAATTGGATGCTTCAGAGTCCAAACTGCAGACTATGATCGCTGTGTCATTTCCAAAGAAGCTGTGTTTATGTTCATTTGACCTGACAGCGTTCAGTGTGGCCACACCATAGAGCTTTCTCATGGTTCTTCTAGCACGCTGTTGAGTTTTCTATTTAGAGCCCTACCTCCTGGAGCGAAGATTTCTAGTCCTCATATTTTAAAGGAGAAATTCAAACAGACTTTAAAGATACAGAAACTAGAAGTACTACCAAAATTACATTCTTCTACCTCACGGATTCTGGATTTTGAGAGCTGATGACACAGAACTGTACAGATGCTTTGCACAGACCTGTAAAGAGAAGGTAGCAGAGAATCCATCTCTGAAGATAGGGAGATAAATTTGCTATAATCTGATAAAGACCTGACCTTGAAGGGATATAGATTTATAGAGGAACTTTGAAGATGTTACCTGCTTGGAGGCTATTGATTTCAAAACACATAATGCAAACATGTAATTAAAATTCAAGTAAATAATATTAACATAAATATTTTTAAAATTTGTTTTTTAAAACAAAAACATTTGGTTTGCAGTCTTGTAGTACAAATATTGCATTGCCATGCACAAAGATTAAAGAGAAATCTGATGGATGTAGAAGATACAACATCACTGGAAAGTGACTCAAAATTTGGGCATCTGGCAAGCACTATTTTGCTGCCTCACAACTTCACAAAGCCAATAGGAAGAAAAAAAATTACCACTATTAAAAATTACCATGACTGAGTAGTGAAAGCATCTTCAGGCTCACACAGTTTGGTTAAAAAGAAGAGGGGAAAACCCCAGAGTTTATAATTAACAAACTCCTTGGATTTCAACTGCTCAAGCTACATCTGAGTTATACCAGCCTTACAGCAGTGGAATCCATCCCCACACCTTTGTTACAGTTGGAGGACTATTTTTGTAACTTTCTAAACCACAATATCAACTATTAAATTAATTAATAGAGATCAAAATTGAAAATTATTTTGGGCATCATTCTATGGTTACATTTCACAGCATTTTCCTAACTTGAATACCCCGAGGTCCTTATGCAGCATCTTTCCAGCTACACTGAAGTCTTGAAAGTAAAAAGTCTACCAGAACCCAGCATATATTTACAAATTAAAATAGCCAATCACCTCCTTAAAATACAACCATACACAACCATACATAACCATACATACGTAAGCCTCACCTTATGTTCAATTCTTAATGTGCAAAGCTCTTACACAGAAGATTGTTTAGCTGGGAATGGCCTCTGAAAGCAGGAGGATTATCAAAAGCCACTTAAAGTGACAGGGGCAAGGTTCTCAGAAGGGAGGCTGAGTCAATATATTAGCAGTATCACAGAGCTTGAACTTAGTCTTGGAGAGGACACTGGAAATACCCGGCTCAAAATCATCTCCAAGGTGAGAGCCATATTTTTCTACCTTAGGCACTACCAAAACAGTCAGTCAGAGAGCAGGAAGTCGGAAAGGTTGCAGTACGTCACTGACAGTCTACTCCTGTCTGCTAGGAGTTCTGCTGACAAGCAGGGAATCCCAGCAGACCCCCACATTGCCATAGTTCTGGGAAACAGACAAAGTCAAAGGGGCAATCCACCAACAGCTCCTAGCAGCCACCTCCACTGGGTAACTCCTATGGAAATCCCAGCAAAAACTTTTCAGCCTTTCCTCCCTGAGGCTTCTCCTTGGGATTTTGCTTCCTGTGGAAGCAAGGGTGGAACTGGCTCCAATCACACAGCTTGAGTAGAATCACAGAGTATCTCAAGTTGGAAGGTACCCATGAGAACCACTGAGTCCAACTCCCTGCTTCTCAGAGGACCACTTAATACTAAACTGCATGACTAAGAGCATCATTCAGGTAGTCTTTGAACTCTGACAGGTTTAGTGTCCTGACCACTTCCCTGGAAAGTCTGTTCCAGCCACCCTCCCAATGAAGCAGATTTTCCCACTGTCCAGTCTGAACCTCCCTGATGCAGTTTCATTCCATTTCCTTGTGTCCTACTGCTGGTCACCAGACAGAGGAGATCAGCACCTCCCCATCTGCTGACCCCCTTGAGGAAGCTGTAGGCTGTGATGGGGTCATCCCTCAGCCTTCTCTTCTCCAAGCTGAACAAAGCAAATGTCATCAGCTGATCCTCCTAATCCTCGTCCTCAAGACCTTTCCCCATCTTGGTCATCCTGCTCTGGATCCACTCTCAATAGTTTGATGTCCTTGCATCAAGGTGCCCATGGCATCTTTTGATTGACACAGAACTACTGATAGACTACTTGTGTCTTGTGCCCTCTTCAACAACGACTGTCTCACCACTCCCAGATTTCACCAAAATCATACTTACTCCTAGAAAACCTTTTAAAATCACCAGGTGTTCTGTCTGAACCAGGCTGAGTACTATTTACAGGACAGCAGCCCTGGGTTTGAAATTCCTATGCAGACCAGTAGGCCAGATCAATAGAAACAAAACCTGAGTCAGAGCATAAGCAATAAACCTCACATTATTGCCTGAAAAGGAACAAAACATCCTCCTGATAAGCTACCTTGATGCTTAGATCAAGCATGATACCTGCACCACAGCAGAATCTGACCCAGCAAATCAGAGATGTTGAGAATGGGAGTCCAACATGTCACTTCACAGTGCGGCACAGGACAGCATCAGAATGCAAATGTTCTTTAAAAATGCACCTCTGTGTTTTTTTTTCCTTAGAAGTGGTCAAATTAAATTTTTTAAATATGTTTCTATGTTCCCAACCTATAAGGTATGAGCAGCATCTTTTCAATATTTACATTCTCAGCAAAAAACATAAACAGGCTACAAATGTCATACAGGCTACTCAGTGTCCTAAGGTAACTCAAATGTAGGATCTAGACCTGTCATAAGTGGCCAAAATGAAACTGAGGAATGGCAATCCAGTAATTTAAGCATAAATTGCACACCACTCCAAGAGGCAGGTTTCCTCCATCAGTGGCTGTGAAAAAGGCATGCGCTGCATGTACAAAGAGATGCACTCTGCAGGATCTGTGTTCGCAAGACAGAATGCCTTCTCACATATAGACAAGCCAGCCCTGACAGCCCAGGACACGCACAGGTGCAATTATGAGCATTCCGCTGGGCAGGAAGCCTTGCCTACCGCCGTGGGAGCGGTGGAGCGGGCACAGATGCACGGCGAGTGGAAAGGAGCGCAGGAGCGCCCGCAGGGCCGCGCTGGCCTCGCTCCGCTCGGGCTCCCCCGCGGCGCCGAGGCCCAGCCCGGGCTCCATCGAACGCCCCCAGCCCCGGAGCATCCCTTCCCTTCCCTGCACCAGCCGCCGCACCCAGCGCGCCGCGCCCGCTTCGGGCGGACAATGACCGGCGGGCATACAATGGTGCAGGGCCGCGAGAGGCTGAGGCGGCTGCGGGCTGCGCCTGCCACACCTCTCCCGCCATCTCCTCTCCATCACCAACGCCGGCTCTCGCTCGCGCTTCCCTCCCGTCCATCACCTCCATCCTTCCTCTCCCCCTTCGCGCCGCCGCCCCGGCCCCCCGCAGCCGGCCGGTCATTGTTCTACTGCCGCGGGCACCGAGCGACACTCTCGGCCGCCGCCGCCGCTCACCGTGCCGCCAGGGAAAGACGCCGAGCAGCGAGGGACGAGCACGGCGCATCCATCTTCCTGCCGGCGGCTCCAGCGCCCGCACCGGCCCCGCCGCCTCCTGCGCGCCGGCGCTGAGGGCGCGCGCCCGCCCCGCCGC